AAAAAAAATCTTTAAGTTCTTTAATAAAGTCTGACATTACTGTTTTGAAAACTCTTTGGCCAAGACTCCACTGAATTGTGCTACATGGAGTTTGTGCCATTTTTATTTTATTGTTGATAAACCTTCCCTCAAACTCAGTTGGAGAAAGGCAAAAGAGAATCTAATGCAAAGTTTTCCATTAGCCGAAAGTTGCCAGAATGTTTGAGGTCTGAAGTTATTTAGTTTTCTTCCTTCATTTGTCTGAAACTGATAACCAAAAGTGGATTCAGGGATTCAAAAAGATTATCACCTAAAAGAATTTATGTTAATTAAGCTTTATACAAACAAGGATGCTACAGGAAATTAATGAAACTTACTGTGTTTTAATATTCTATGAGTCCAAACTTGAAGCGATTTAATATTTGGAAGGATTTTCATATTGGACATATGGTTATTACTGTACTCTTACTGGCTACCAAATGAGACAGCATGCCTGTGTCTGGCTGGTTTAACATGTCCTGTGCTGGGGAAAGCACCACTGCTCATTGTAGATCTAGTATTTGGATCTAGGGACATGAGTTGTAATTTACAGGTTGCCTCAGACTGATTCACTGAGCCTAGTCCTTCAATTTCCGGATTTGTTATGGTTTAGATGTAGAATGTCCCCCAAAGGCCGCATCTATTCAAAAGTGGGGCATTCAGAAGGTGATTGGATTATGGGGTGTGGTACTCATCCATGGTGGATTAACCCATGGATGTATTCAGAACTGAACGTGGGGTTAGGAGGTAGAGGCTGGTTAGAGGCAGGTCACTGGGGCCGTGGCCTGGAAGGCTGTGTTTCCTTTCTCAGCTCTGCCCTTCACCCTCTGCTTCCTGGATGCCATAGCTGAGCAGCCGTCCTCTGCCCAGGCCCCTCTGCCATGCTGTTTCTGCTTGGGAGCCAGCCTATCATGGTCTGTAAACATGAGCCAAAATAAATCTCTCCTCCTTTAATTTGTGGGTATCAGGTATTGTGTTCTGACAATGAAAGTGACTAAGACAAGATTGCACTGTGCTTTTGCAGAGAGAAGTCCTCCTGCATATTAATCCATGTGGGGGATGAAGGCAAGGCGTGTGGGAATACAGTCATGAGGTAAGATGTAAACACAGAGTTCTGGATGCCTTATTTATTGTTCTTAAACAGCTCCCCTGGACTGTATCCTAGGTAAATGGTAAATTTGACCAAGTTTGTCTTCTAACCCTTTCAGGAGTCCATTGGTACCTTTTCTTATTAAGTAAGAACAAACACTTAGATATGTATTATTCAAATTATACTGCATAGCCTTGACCTTAGAAGATAGAAGTCTCTGTGGAAGATATGATCTGCTACCAGCTTGGGCTTTCCCATTAGAGAGGTGCTCTTGGTCATCTGCCTGTCCAGGTAGAGGTCTCCCAAGTTGGCAGAAGCCCTGAATCTAGGCTTTCCCTAGTTCATGGACCCCTATGTATAACTCCCTGAAATTCTGCCTTTATTATTTGGTTTCAACAACTGCCTTAGGAAACTATGTTACCTGGGATTTCTTATTGTGGTTCTGGGTACAAGTCTGGATACAATTCTTCGAGTGGCCTATTTTTGCCTTAGCCACAGGCTGTACCTTAAGCAGAAATCACACATGTCCATAGTAACCATGGGTACATAGTGATGTTTGCTCCATGGGCATGCTCAGTCATTTGCCCGTGTGGCATGAAGTCAGAAGGATTGAGTCCCAAAGACTTGGCATTACTACAGCACACCGTGTTACCCACAGGTCAACAGCTGCTTTAGGGAAGAATCTTTATTGGTTAATGAGTAAATGACTGAATGAAGATGGACACCATCATCACAGTGTTAGGAACACCTACCTGTAAGAGCAGTCATATGGAAAGGCAGGAAGATAGAGAGAGAGTCAAGGGTCACGCTCACTGATTTATAACAGTTGACTCTTGTGGGAACTAATGGGGGTCACATGAGAGCTACCTTAATGTCTTCTTAGGGCAGAGCCCCCAGTGACCTATTATTCTCCTCTCCACGTTGCCACACCAGGGACTAAGCTTCCAACACATGAGACATATTCAAACCATAGAAATGGGTCTTGTCCTATGTGAGAAGATTCCTAGGAATCTAGGCCCAGTGGCCTGGGGAAAGGTATTTATTTTGAGGAAAAGGGCTTTGTTGAGTTGCTGCTTTCACCTTTATAGGAAGGTTTAACTTTGGGAGAGTCACCTGAGAGCTCCTGAGGTTCAGTTCATCCTCCTACTACCTGAGTTCTCCCAATCCTTGCTTGAAGGCTATTAATGACTCCATGGGAGGAAGGAGCCGAGAAACCTTGGGACCAACTGCTCTGTTCTGGACACTGGATTACTCGACTGGAGTGTGAGGAGGTTGGTCTGGGCCATTCTGCTGCCTTAGAGCTTGAGTAAGCCTCCAAGCATAAGAAGGACACGAGGGAAGCAGAGAACCTTAACTCCATCAAGTAGGGCTCTCATCTCACAGAAACCACTCGTTCTTTTTCCTTGGGTCCTGTGCATAAAATTAGGATAATCCAGGTAACCACCAAGGACAGGCTGTAGCTGGGTACTCATATATTATCACCCACTCATTGATCCAGTGAGGGTGGGGCAGATCCACTCTCTAGAAACTCTCCAAGCTCATTTAAAATAGTAAGCATATTCCTAAAATCTTTCATTTATCTATTAGAAGGTCAATTAATTTCAGAGTTGTTCTATGTCAAGGTTATTTACATGGGATTTGCTAGAGGGAGGAGTATTGCTTATCCAACAGAAAGTGAATCCACTTTTGAAGTTTTTTCTTTTCTTTTTTCCCCCCTCTTCTTCAAAGCATCTGATAACTCATTCCATCTTTTTGGAATCTGCCTTTGGGCTCCAGTGCCTCATGTTCCCTTTACAGTGGCCTCTAAGTCATGGCTATTCATGTCTGTGGTTAAGCACATTTTCTCTTGTTATTCTATCCACTGGGGGACTCACAGGACATCTTATTGTAGGTAATGTCAGACGAGATTTAGAGAGATTCACCAATTGTAAATCAGTGCCTTGAAGCTTAGGAATATTTTTCCTTGTCTGTTCTTTTGGATTATGTGCTTGAGCCCTGTGAGTACAGTTTAAGGAG